GCCAGAAAAGGGCGGGGTGGGGAGGGGAACACAGATGGACGTACAGAGATCGATCTAGCTATTTTAAGGGAGTAGTCTGTGAAACAGAGACATCAGGACACCAAACAAACAAAAATATTTGCAAGAATTATGTTGTAAGAAAATCATTAAGTTAATACAGTAACACTGACATTAAATGGTTTAAAAGGGGTGCTATTGTTGCACCAAGCCTGTTTTATCTGTCAGACCAAATGTTACTGACAGAAAAACAGGAAACCGCCCAACTTTCCCTAATCATATTGATAAAGTCATATCTATAAAGACCACTAGTGTGCATCATAAGCAACGCAGTGAATAAAGAAGTCCCCCTTAAACGCCTGCGGCCATGTCTTAATATCTAAATAGCACTCTTGATCTTGTTAGGTCTTAAATACTAATAACTTTACATCCTCTGGTCCATTTCTTCCCAGCTCCTTTTTGCTCTATCAATCAGTTTTAAGTGTCCCACCCTGGCATGTGTGGCCTTCTAGAACCTCATCCTGCTCTATAAGGTCCATGTAAGTCAGGCTGTTCCAGCTCCTCGAGATTTTCTGCACAGGCCATGCTCCTCTCTGTTGTAGGTGCTCTGAGTGAAGACATGTAGGCCCCCTTCAGTGGGCATGTTATAATCCAAAGGTCTAATTGAAAATTAGATACATGTACATACAAAAAGACAAAAAGCAAACAATAACTATAAACATCTATGAAGCCATGATAGACATACTTATAATCTTTAATAACAGTAAACAGATGGAAACAAATCTAATCTCCCCAACCAAATAAAGTAAAAGTATTTCCTGCAGTGTATTCATTTCCTTTAGTGCTTGCAAGTTCATCAACAGAGAGTTTCCTACAACATACTTCCCCACCCCAAGTAGTCCTCAGACACCAACTTCCGGTGTGGGGCTACAGAACGACAGATACGCAGCATCAGCATGTCACCGAACGTGTCTAAGGTCAGCGCTGAAACTGGGAAACAGGAGCATGCTCAAACCATGTGATGGCTGTTGTTCAGGCTATGCTCAGAAGAGGAAGTGAGAGCAGTCTGTTCAGTATCAGACCCATTCCAATGACACTAAGCAAGCACTCAGAGAACCCAGATGCAAAGAATTGGATAAAAGAAAAATTAATCAAAAGAGGGAATGACACTTCTAAGGTCTGCATTGTTACAACACCTATTATGACACTGATGAATTACGGCCTATAATCAGATATGGTCACTGCCTAGAATTCTAGTGAACTGTTGGTACATAAAATCTGCTGTGGGATCACATCACTAACATCTACTCAAATTCCGTTTTGCTTTGTATCTGACGGGGAAAAAGAAATGTTTACTCAACACATAAGCTACAAGCTTATTTCAAATTTAGCTACTGTCCTCAAAAATTTGTTCTTGTAACGGTACATTAACTAATCACTTACTAGCTAAAAGATACTCTGTAAGTTAACAGTCATTGAAATAAAGACTCCTCTGCTTCCCCAACCAATTTAAGCCTTGGTGAATTAAAGAACAACACTGCTGCTTTCAACTTGGAATACTTTCTAAACTCTGCTCAAAAGATCTATTTAAAAAATGACTCGATTTTGCACATATCATAGAAGAGGGACTCGTCACACATGTAAGAAATTGCTTTATTTTGTACCATTCCAAAACGAAACTGGATGATGAATATATGTGTGCTAAACAAGATGGGGAAAGGAGGAGGGAGGCACAGTGATCAATATTAGACTTTACTGAGTCAGGTGTGTCTGTGAAACACCAAAGATCACTCCTGAATAGAAGTAAAGGAGAAAACGGGAAATAAATTCAAGTAAACAAAGAAAAATAAGACAACCCAAAATCACATAGTTCAGTAATCATCTGAAATAAATGACCTAAATTCACCAGTGAAAAGACAGAATCCTCAAATGGGATTAAGAAACATGTCCCCTCAAAGCCATAAGAATACAATGTTTAAAAGCAAAAAAAGGGGAGGACATAGCTCAGTTGGCAGAGCACATGTTTAGGATGTACGAGGTCCTGGGTTCAATCCCCAGTACCTCCATTAAAAAAATAAACAATAAATAAACAAACAAACAAATAAACCTAAATACCCCCCTAAAAAAGACATAAAAAAAGAACAAAAAAACCTTTTTTTAAGGAAAAAAAAAGGAAGAAGAGGCAAAAATAGAAGTCCAGACAGTCCTTCACAAAATAAAGCTAGTACGGAAATATTAATATTAAATAAATTTTAAGGTATCATATGATGGTAAAAAGGGAAAGTCTAAGAATATACAATTCTGCACAGGTATGTATCTAACAATCCAGCCTCAAATTTTATAAAGTATACACTTACAGAAATACAAAGAAATTCCTAAATCAACTATTATAGAGACTTTAACACACACCTCTAGGCAGTTAATTACTATGCAGACATCCTGACCCATATAATTAATAAGTCTGATCAAGAGGACAAACTGGAAACCTGTGGCAACAATGAAAGGATAATACACTTTCCCAAACTCAAAAGAACTATTATAAACATTGACTACACATTAGGCTACAAAGAAAGCCTCAACAAATACAACAGAATCTTTTACTTAGACCACATTCTAACCACAATGTAATAAAACAGGAAATCTGAACAAAAGAAAAATGTCCTCTCCCCACAAGACATGTATACATATATTCACCCACAAACACAGACACACTCTGGAAATTTAAAAACACACTAATAAAAACTTCAGTGGTCAAAAATGACCCATAATGGGCTTGAGGAAATATTAAGAACTGAATGACAATTAAAAGCACAGTATTTCAAAACTTGTGCACTGAACAGGAGGCACATGAAGGGAAATTACAGCCATGAAAGCATAAAGCATACATCTTTTTCCCAAGTATTCAACTCAAGAAATTAGCAAAAAGATAGAATCCCAAGGAGAAAATAAAGAACAAAATATTACAAAATATAAATCAAATAAAACCAAGCTTTTTCTTTGAAAGAAAAGATTAAAATGGTTAACTCTGCAGCAAGAATGAAGAAGAAAAAGTAAATAACACAACAAATGGAGAGGAAGTTAAAATCAAATACACAAGACAAGAATACTATGAAAAACTTCATACCAATAGATTTGTCAAATAAGATGAAAAGGGCAGTTTCCACTAAAAATATGAATTACTCAAACCGATTCAAGAAAAACCAGAAACACACTGTAAGAAAATCAGATGATTAAAAATTTAAAAATACCCCCAACCTTATTTTTCCCACAAAAAAGGCCACCAGCCCAAGACAGTTTTAAAGGCAACTTCTACCAGGATCTCCAAAGAATAGTTAAATCTCTAATTTATCCAAACTTATCCAGAGAATATTAACAGGTAAGCAACTTTATGAGGCTAGACTATAACCCAGAAAACAGTCATGAAGACAACTTGATAAAAGAAAATTTAAAACAATATATGAAAAAATCCTAGATTAAAAATGAAAAAGCAACGCCAAATCATCATAAACAGGTAGTATTTATATTAGGAATTCAAAGATGGCTTAACGTTAGAAAACATTAATATAAATTACAACATTAACCGATTAGGAAAACATGATCCACTCAGTTGCTGCAGAAAATACATTAGATAAAATCCACTACCTAGTCATGTCTTCCACCACCTATTTATGAAACTGTCTAGTTTAGTCTTAGAAACTAGGACAGGAATATCCTTGAGGGGAGGGTATAGCTCAGTGGTAGAGAGTGTGCTTAGTATGCATAAGGTCCTGGGTTCAATTCCTAGTACTTCCATCAAAATAAGTAAATAAATAAACTTAACTACCCCCCTCAAAGAAACAAAAAAAAAAAATAAAGTTATGTAAGTTATCCTTAAGTTAGTTCTCAAAATCTAGACTCCCTAACTTTGAGGATAGATAGTAAAAATAAGGAACATGTGGTCACATAGACTGGGCCTGAGTCAAGTTCAGAACACCACTCTATTGTTTTCTTATTGTCCCCCTCCCCCTGCTACTGAGACCCACAGTATTCTCTGTCTCTCTCTCAGAGCTTTAAGGATTTTTAATCATCTTTTGCCACTCCTTTTCTTAAAACAACTGAAATATCAGAATAGTTAAAACTAAGTAAGAAAAATAAAGTTCTGTATAACTAATCCAAAGATAAAGGTAAGGACCATGAAGCACTCATCTTAGTAGTTCAGTGGTCAAGTTCACGACCTTCACAAATTGCCAGGGCTAGAGTCCTGGTTCAACCACTAACTAGTGATGAAAAGTTTAACCTCTCTAAGCCTTACATTCTCCATTTTAAGAGTAGGAATACCCATAATAATACCTGCTTAATATAGAGTTTTACAAGTATTATTTGAGATAATCCATTCAAAGCTCTTCATACAGTTCTTCAGTAAAATTAGCTATTAGTATGTCATGTAAATAAAGTAATTTAGCTATGAAAAGCAACAAACACTTTGGTCATAAAATTATAAGGCATTAAACGCTTTTAAAAAATTACATTGGCTTCAGTCAGCATCAGTGCTAATGAATTACATGCTTGGCAAATCAAGAGTGTTTTTCAATTAAATGAAACTAAATAAATGAGCTACACTTTAAATTATTATCTGTCTCAGGAAGAAAACACCCGGGGTTAAACCGCTGAAATTCCATTACCCTGAAACGTCAACCCAGTGCAATGTTTCTTTCTTCAAGTGAAAAGAAACACTTACAGTCATGAGTAATACTCAGTTTAATGTCTACTTAAATCCAGAACAGACCCCAGCCAATACATGTGACCAGTGCTGACGGGCAGATCAAGGGCCCGGCCCCACTTAGCCCTAAGGGTCAGGGACTATTGTTTCTATGTTTTCTTGTTTTTTAATGCAAAACTGTGAAACAAACTAGCTTATAGGAACACAAAATATACGCATTGTGCCAGACCACAAACGAAGGCAGAAGGTACTTATGCTTCATCCCACACATCAAGAGAGCTCTCCAGTCAGCGCCCTGCCTCACCTCCAGGTCACAGGTGTACTCGGCGCCATCCAGGAGGGTCACTTTACACTGGACAGTTTTGGTCTTCTTGGGGCCTTTCTGAGAGGCCTTCTCTGCCTTTAGCTCATTGGTCTGCACTTCCTTGGTCTCCCTTTTTGCTGCTTCATCCAGTTTGTCCTCTTGTATTTCCTTTACCTTCTCCTCTTCTCTCTCCTTACTTACTGCTTCAACAGGCTGTTAAGGAAAAAAAGAAATTAAGTTCATACTAAAGCTGATCAATTTGCAGAAGACAAGACATTAAAAGGAAAATCTTTAGTAAGAACTGTGATTGTTATAAACACCGTAAGCCTAAGATTTTTTTTTTTTAATCTAAGGTCCTGTTCCAGGGTCCCATCCAGGACACCACATTACATGTAGCTGTCATGTTTTCTTGGGCTCTGCTCGGTCGTGAGGGCTTCTCAGACTTACCCGATTATTTTTTTAAGTTTCTCTCTTTATTTAACACTTTTTAAAAAATTAAATTCTTTTCTGTGAGGGGTGGGTAATTAGGTTTATTCATTTACATAATGGAGGCACCAGGGATTGAACCCAGAACCTCATGCATGCTAAGCACAAGCTCTACCACTGATCTATACCCTCCCCTAAGCCTAAGATTTTAAAAGACTTCAAAACTTTGCTAGAAAGAATATTTCCCCACATCTTCTTTTCCCCAATCCACTGCCAGGTTTCTCCTTTTGCCAATTTGGTAATTTCAGCATGAAATGAGTAAAAATAAACTATGTCCCAGCAACAACAATTTAAATATCATCTCAAATAATAAAATTTCTAACTATAATTTCATACCATGGCAAAACCTAGGCTTCATTAGGCAACCAAAATGCACACACATACAAATCTGCTTCCTCCTAGCCACTGAACATTTAAATAAATCAAGTCAAAGATATAAAGGTGCACCGTCTTTAAAAGGAGAGGTGGTGGGACTCTGAGAGGTCCTGCCTAACCCTAAAATGAATAGACATGAATTTTCTATGATCTGCGTATCTAGGGGATTTTTTCTTGCTTTATTATTTTAGAAAAGTTTTAAAAGGAGTAATAGAAGGCTGTGGTAGACCCTCCAAGACCCATATTCCAGATATAGTAAGCCAAGGTTGTACCTTAATACAACAAATCTAGAAATGATTCAAAACAAACGAATCCTTTTTGTTAACATGGTTATGCCAAAGAGCTTTCATTTCCAGACAGTCACTTCTCAAACATACCTGTGTCTCCAGACCGCTCACTGAAGGTTTCTCTTCCTTGACATCAGCCTTCATCTCCTGTTGTTTTCTCTGAGCTGTCTCGTCAGCATCACCCTTAGCCAGCTGTTCTTCTTCGGGAAGAGATTCCTCTTTATCTAAAACCTGCTCTTCCACGACAGCCTGGGAAGGCTCTTTTCTATCTCCTCCGTCTTTGGCCACAACTAAGTCATAGGACTTTTGTTTCTTAAGCCATGGGGGGATGAACCGAGAAACCCCTCTGCTCGCAGAGGGACTTTTCGCTTTCTTCTTCTGGGGGCGTGTGCTGCTTTGGCTTTCAGCTGTAGGAGATGACTGGGGACCCTTCTCCTCCTCTAGATCAGACGGCTGATTCTGCTGATTTTCTGCTACTTCTTTAGGTTTCTCCTTGGTTGCATCTGCTCCTAACTGGTCAGATTCCTTCTTCACTTCAGATGTGGCACCCACTTCGGTAGTCATGGTCACAGCTTATACTATAAACAAAACAAAATCACCAAAAGTTATTTTACAAACTCTTCCAGTTTTGGTTTGGAGGCATGGAGCAGGGTGAGGAAGGGTGGGAAGGGGAATGGCAGAGAGATGAGAGGAGAAAACACAGAAAAAGAAGGTTCACAAGCACAAGAGAAGATGGAGACTGCTACCCTCAATGTTTAGAATTCTCTATCAGAATCAAAGAACCAAAACTAGCATCACAATAGGATTAACTCTAGTTCTGTAGAGGGGGAGGGTAGAGCTCAGTGGTAAGAGTACAGGCTTAGCTTGCAGGAGGTCTTGGGTTCAAGCCCCAGTACCTCCATTAAATCTATCAATCAAATTATCTCCTCCAAAAGAAATAATGAAAAAGAAAAAAGCTCTGATTCTGTACAGATAAAACTTTAAATCGTCAAAAGCTCTAAAGTGATTAGTTTTATTTGATTGCATCTAGCTAAATAATAATTCACCCCCCAAAATTCATTTTTTAAGGAAAATGACTTTTCTCTATACTTGGTATTCCTTATACTATGATATGAAAATGTTATTGATAATGCTACAAAATTCCAAGACACATTTCACTGTAATTCCACACATTAAAACCAACCTATACAAAACTGCTAGGTATTATAAAAATGAATTTTAAGTTTTCAGTGCTTAACTGCAAGAAAATTAAATCTGGAACAAAAATGACTTCTTTGTTGTGTCACTATTAAATCCCATAATTCACCAACACTGTTCCAATGCAAACATTAGTCTTCAAAGAAAGGAACTAAAACTATAATTAAAACTCCAAATCTCTATCCCACCCAACCTCATACACAGTTTTCTTGGTATTTGTGATTATAAGAAAAGTGTCTAGGGATTCCTAACCTGAACCAAATGAAGACATCATAGGTGGGGAAAAATGCATCTCATGATTCATTCTATCACAACTAATGAAAACTAAATCAAAATTATATCTGAAAGTAACAGGTTGTCTAAATTTTATACAAGCAAAGAAGGACTTTAAATAAAAACAACAGGCAGGCAATGAAAAGATACTCAACATCATTAATTATCAGAGAAATGCAAATTAAAACCACAAGGAGGTATCACTTCACACCTGTCAGAATGGCTATCTTCAAAAAGAACACAAAAAACAAACATGGGTGAGGATGCAGAAAAAAGGGAACCCTTATACATTGTTGGTGGGAATGGAAATTGGTGCAGCCACTATAGAAAACAGATGGAGGTTCCTCAAAAAACTGAAAGTGGAACTACCATATGACCCCGCAATTCCACTGCTGGGTAAATATCCAGAAAAAAACAAAAACACTAATTTGAAAAGATGCATGTATCCAGTATTCTCAGTAACATTATTTACAATTGCCAAGACATGTAAGCAACCTAAGTGTCCATCAACAGAACAATGGATAACGAAGATGTGGTAAATAGGTATACAATGGAATACTACTCATCCATTAAAAAGAATAAATTTTGCGCCTTGCAACAACATGGATGAACTCGAAAGGTACTGTGCTAAATGAAATAAGTCAGACAGAGAAAGACAAATACTGTATGATATCACTTACATGTGGAATCTAAAAAATAAAACAAATAAATGAATATAACAAAAAAGAAACAGACTCACAGATATAGAGAACAAACTAGTGGTTACCAGTGGGGAGAGGGATGGAGAGAGGGGTAAGATAGGGTTAGAGGATAAGAGAAACAAACTATTACTTATTAAATAAATAAGCTACAAAGATGTATTTATTGTACAACACAGGGAATGCAGCCAGTATTTTGTAGTAACTATTCATGGAATATAAGCTTTAAACACTGTGAATCACTATGTTGTACACCTGTAACTTATGTAATATTGTACATCAACTATACTTCAATTAAAAATGAAAAAGTATAAATAAAAAGCACATGCAGGGATGGCAGACACAACACACTCTCTCCCCTCTTACTAATTATAAAATGTACTCAAAGGCCTGGCACCCAGGCCAATGGGAAATTTCCCAGCTATCTCCAAAAGCGGTAAAAAACTTGAAGACTTCAAAAAATAAAGTAAATTTGATTTTTCTTTTTCTTAAAGCTTTATTGAAATACAATTTACATACCATAAAATTCACCTTTTTAAACTGTACAGTTAACGGTTCAAAGCATATTCAAAAGGTTGTGCAACCATCACCACCATCTAAACCTATAACACTTTCAACATCCCAAAAAGAAACCTTATACCATCAATAGTTATTCCCCAGTCTCCCCTTACCCAAGCCTGTGGCAACCAATAAACTACTTTCAGTCTGTACAGATTTGCCTATTTGACATTTCAAATAAATGGAATCATACAACATGTAGCATTTTCACTTGGCATGTTTTCAAGGTCCATTCATGTTGTAGCATGTATCAGTACGATACTTATTTCTTAAAATATTATTCACTATCTTTTGCAAATCATATTTCTGGTAAGAGTCCAGTATCTAGATATATAAAGAATTCTTACAACTCAACAATAAAGACCAAAAAAGAAAAATTTTAATGGGCAAAAAAGGATTTGAGTAGACATTGCTCCAAAGGAAAAAAATGGCCAATAAGCACTTGAAATGATGCTGAATATTATTAGTCATTAAGGAAACACAAATCAAAACTACTAGGAGACACTACTTCACATCTACTAGTACGGCTATAATCAAAAAGAAAGATAGGAACAAGTATTGGTGAGGTTATGGAAAATTTAGAATTCTCAGCACTGCTGGCAAGAATGTAAAATGGTGCAGCCATTGTGGAAAACAGCTTGGTGGTTTCTCAAAACGTTAAACATAAAGTTACCACATGACCCAGCAATTCCATGCCTAGAAAATGAATCCCAAGAGAAATGAAAACATACATTCACACAAAGACTTGTAAATGAATGTTTATAACAACATTATTTATAATAGTCAAAAATGAAAACAACCCAAATGCCCACCAACTGATGGATGGATAAACACAGTGTGACATGCCCGTACAATAGAATATTAAGTCTTGCCAAGGAATGAAGTCACATATGAACCTTGAAAACATTATGCTATGTGAAAGAAGCCAGATACAAAAGGCCATACGCTGTATGATTCCATTTGTATAAAATTTCCAGAAGAGGCAAATCTACAGAGAAAAGATGTAGACTAGTGGTTGCAAAGGGTTGCAAGGAGGGGAGAATGGGGAGCAACTGTTAACGGGGACAGGGTTTATTCTGCAGATGATAAACACATTCTGGACTTAGTAATGACAGTTGTACAACCTTGTGAATATACTCAAAACCAATGAACTGTAAATTTTAAAAGGGTGATATCTCAACAATTAAAAAAACTTCAAAATTTTTACATACTTCTGATGTGCAAGCATAGAAACATTCAGTCAGACAGCCTACACTTAACAGGTCCCTACAATGTGCCAAGTATTGGGCACATGAATACAGGCTACCTTCAAGGAGCTAGAGGAGTTGGGGTATAGAGAAATCAAGAGTTTGTTGCTTAAAAAGCACAGGACAAACACTTAAGCCAGATTAGGAGAAGAGGGTCATTAGGCAAGCCTTTCTGCAGAAGTTGACATTTGAGTTGCTTTAAAACAGTAAGTATCCCTATTCAGGCAAGAAAGTCAATATGGGAAGCATGTGCTAGGCATAGGCAAGTGTGTAGAAACATAAGAACATTCCTCCCATCGGAAACTACCAGTACTGAACAAAAATACACTGTACAAGTGAAGTGGGGGCTTGTGAATGGGGATTGGAGGGAAGGAGGAGGGTGAACTGGTGATGATTAAGTAGGAGACACAGACAGAAGGCATAATACAAAAGATTTTGTGTGTCTTGGTAGGAAAGGTCGGGAGGTTGATTGAAAGGCAATGATAAGTCATACAAGCACTTTAAGAAGTGGAGTAATGTAATCAGACTCATGGTTCAGTGAACCCACCTTTGCTGTAAAGTACAGGACAAGAGAAAGAATGAAATAGAAGGACATCAGGAAGCTGTTGCAACAATCCAGGCATGAAAAGGTGATGGTCTATACTGTAGTGGAAGCAGTGCGGTACAGGGTAAGTAATGGTAAAAGGGGAGACTGGATATGACGTGGTGTCTATAATGAAAATAGCAAATCAAAGAGAGAAGAGTAGAGGAAAAGTCCCAGGTCATGAGAGACTGGGGTGATGGTAGAACCATACATGGAAACAGGAAACACGAAGGAAAGAAGGTCTGGCTGACACAATTAAACTAGATTTTTAATTCATTGTGGCTGAGAAGTTTAAGGAGGTGTCCAGTTGGCCACCTGACACGCAGGTCTTGAGTGGAGGCTAGACAGACACTAGGGATACCGATTTGGGAGTTGTCACCACATGGGTGACAGCTAAAAGCACAGGTGATACAGACACCACATAGAGAAAAGTGTAGTTTGAGCTTAGAGGGTCCTGAAGAGAACCTTTCTCACCACCATTTACGAGCCAGGCAGAGGGGAAAGGCACAAAGTGCAAGAAGTACATAGTGAGACAGGGCGATCAGGGGACAGTAATGTCCTTAAGGGCAATGCCAATAGTTCAGTAACTATAATATATGTATGTCCAACCTTACATCTCATTCTTACACATTTAAAATTCAAAATCATGTCTTCCAGTAAGACCATTATGTGAGTACTTGCACTGGCTCCATATGGCACAGAAAATCTTTTTTTCTGTCTCTAAAAGGTACTATTTTCCATGTATCATTCAAGTGGAAAATATTTACATTAATCATGAAATTACCAAAGGTGACTTTTAGCATATACTCTCTAATTAGATTTTGAAAGTTGAATCAATGTCCTGGTAAAAATTAAAACATAAATGCCTCATGCTCGCCCAAGCTAAGCAGGATTAACTGGCAGCTCTCTGGTTACTTTGGCTGTGAGAAACAATCTGGAGACCAACCAACTAAAGCTGATTCCTGGTCAAAATATTATAGAAGCAATGAAATATAAAACTAAAGTTTCAACCATTAGGTTAA